CATCCCGTAACATCATGAATGGAAATAAAGCACGATTAAAAGTGACAGCTCATATGCTAACATTGATTCCTAGACAAGACAGAGAAATAGGAAGAATGAGAGCACAACCAAGGGTAAAATAATCTTGATACTCAAAAAGAAAAACACCAAAACACTAAACTACCAAACCAACAGATAATGAAAACATTCACAAGCAGTGAGGAAAAATATATTAACTTCCCTAACTGTTGAGACTAGATATACATCAGAAGACATGAAGAAATAAGAAAGTTTATTTGTCTGCACTTAAAAAGATACTCTGGATCAAAAACCCAGTGCTTCCCTTATGCCCTGAAGATGAAATATACAAGCAGGACAATCTCTTCAGGTATTCTGTATAGCAGTTGGACAGATGAATACAACAGGAAAGATACTACAACAAAGGTACAACAACTGAAGGAGTAGCACAATAGAGAGGTGCTACAAAGGAAGGGAAGATTACTTACCTGTATCAGAAGATTCCAGGTTCACAGGAGAAAGCTTCACTAAAGAAAGATCTCCAGAAAGAGATCCTGCTGTAGCGACAGTCAGCCCTCAAATGAGGTCTAACAGAGGTGCAGCCAGGCTGCACCCCTTCCTGTCACACAGGTAAATTGCCTTCACCTGTGCTCCCAGGGCTGAGCAGGTTTTTTTCTCCAGGTGCTCAATAAGCAGCTCAGGATGGAACTCAGCACTTCCCATACATCTGCCTAGAGCAGAAAGATGCAGTAATGCTGTGTACTGCCTCAACAACCATGAATAAAGCTGGGGGTTGGAGCCATGTTTTAGATTGAACGTGCTGGTGAACTAAACGGGGTGTAGATTGAATGCTGAAATTGAGAATGATGGTAGATCTTGTATGTCAGACATTTGGCTTTGCCTACTCTGCTCCATTGGGAATGGGCCCAAGGACAGTCTAAAAGAGATGTTCTCCTTAACCTGTGCTGTTTGGATGCCTTACCAGTGTGAAGACAGTTGTGGTCTCACGCTTGCTAAATGCCTTCTGACTTTCCATCGTGTTATTTCAGACTTATCTAGACAGAAGTTTGGGTTAATTTTTGTCTTAATTTTTGTTTTTCAGCATGGAAGTCTTGGTGTTCTCACTAAACCAGGTCCCTGCCTGTGGACCAACCTTATTGGACCTTCTAAACCTTATTTAATCAAAAACCACCCGATGACTTCTCTGAAGAGAGATCTATTGTTGGCAGTCACTGTTTGGATCAGACTTCTTAACAACATACAGCTGTGCAGCACAGCTGGGAGTGGGAAATCCCCTGCAGGGACTTCCTTCCCACTTCTTACTGATCAGACTGAAGCATTTATTTTCCTTTTCATTAAAGAGAGGAGAAGTAGGGTACAACATGAATCTGTTGCTGCTGCACCTTTTAATGATCTGCAGGATGCTAATCCCTCCCCTAGTAAACAGTGCAGCAGCTTGATCCCGCATTGTGCTGAGCCTTGCACACTGCTGAGCATCCTGCACAGTCCTATTTGAGAATAGGCCCTCGCATCATTCTGTGAGTTCTTTTGTGATTGAACTTCACATCAGACCATGCTTACACGATCACACACTCAGACCAAGCCTCTGCTTTGCACTTCCGCCCAGAAACCTGCATGACTAAAGTGATCCAAACTGCACAGCTACTTCACCACCATCTATGTTCAGGATTTGTTCCTCTTAAATCTCTTCTAACAAAGCTTTGTTCAAAGATGATTAACAGATGCTGTCATTAAAAAGTTGCCACTTTCCAACAAGCACATGGATCTGCTAGAAATCTAATGTTTCTGCAGCCTTCCCCAAGAAGGGACAGTTGTGATAACTGGTAAGGCCTGACAGAGCTTGACGTGCTCAAGTACCTCCTACCCCACCTAACGTGTTGAAAGGCTGCTGGCTTCTGGAGAGGGTGCCTCTCTTGTCTGTGTGAAATCAATCGCATAAGCACATATGATACAGGATAGATAATGCAGCCCACTATGATTACAAGTGGTGATTTTTTAAGATAATTATGATTTTGTCTAGGAAAGTTTTATTGGTAAAAAAAGCAAAGAAAAGCATTAAATAATATGCACAGAAGTGTAGACAAGGAACTGAAACACAGACTTTAACATCCATTGTAAGGTGCGCTGAATATAGAGTGTGCGCACAGCATACAATGCACACCAAATAGGGACAGGGATCACACTGAGCACCTGGCTGGCACACAGCCACTCCACCTGGTGCACATTGAAGTTCCAAACCTACAAGACAGACTCCCTGTTAGTAGCTGGAAAAAGCAAACTGTAGAGATGGCAACGTACCCTGTCCGGAGGGATCTTTCAGTAGTTCTGAAGAGATGTTTTGGTGATGGCAGCCTTGCCGTTGGCAAAACCGCCAACTTCTTGTCAAAAGGATTTTTTTTCTCAGGAAGGTGGGAAGGAAGTGTTCAGTATGTTTTCAGAAACTATTTTAAATGATCCTGAATCTTTTGCTGCGCTTAAAGCAGAACTCAACACATAAATTGTAAGTCTCATTTTTGTATAGGTTTCAAAGACATTATAGATGTAGGAAATTTGCACTGGATTCTGAGCCCAGTATTTCAGAATTTGATAATTGTTTTCCTTCTTTTCCGTTTTCCATGAACTAGTTAAAAACATCATTGCTCTGGCAAAAAGCCTATGTTTTGAAAGGATTTTTATTCCCTTCTTATTCCTTTTGTTCCAGCATGTGACTCCAAGTTACAGCATTCACTGATGAGATGGTGGCACTGCGCAGCTCCAAGACCACTGCAGTCAGTAAGAATATTCCCACTGACTTTTCTGAGCTTCACATCAGGGTTTTATTTGCGATTTAGCTTTAGTCTCAACTCACGTCTCAATTTACTGTGCATTTAAAGTGAACACAGAATAGCCAGTATTGGCATGTTCCGCTTCTACAGAACAAGTCAGATGAACTGACAGCTTTTAAGTTTAGGAAACATAACAAATTCACAGGATATACAATGAGAAACATCATCTTACAGACATGCAGCAAGAGGAAATGCAACTAATCCAATCCAGTGTTTATTTCTTTAACATTCTATTACAGCAAAGAAGTTCTATAATGAGATTACTCCATTTTATCTCTTAATTGTATCCAGATATGCCAAACGTATTTACTGCTAGTGGCTTGTACACTGTATAGCATTTTAGAGCTAATTCTGAAACAGAAGCACTATTGCTGCACAATGAAATATTCTTACTGTTATGAATCAATACTATTTTCTACAATTAATTGTGATTTCTTTTTTAATTGGATATAAACCCTACTAAACTATGAAACAGCTATTTGTATAAATATAATTCTTTTAAATCCAGGATGATATCAACATAGAATGTTTTATTTAAAGAGATTGCAAGCAAAAAGGAAAAAAGAGACATTATGCATTTCCTTTATTTACCATTATTAAAACCAGCAGCAAGCCTAGTCTTGAAAGCTTTCAGGTTTTTATTTTTGAACATCTGAAATCTACCATTGTGCATAAACATGCACACACATCCTCCCCAAGCAGTGTATTTATAGTTTAATTGTTCATTAAAGAGTACTTTGCACCTGGCTATTGTTTGTATCATACCACATAGAGAGGAAAGTGCATTATTTATAGTATTTACACTCACAGATCTCTAGGGGCTGAAATACTTAGCAATCTTTTAATTGCTCATATATAAAACACAACCAAAAAAAAAAAAAAAAAAAAAAAAAAAGCTAAGCAAATCAAAGCTCTTCTGTTCAAAAATATGGGTGAATAGGCAGTGAAAATCCCAACCTAATCTGTTACTCACAGCTACTTAAAAATGTTAAGAATCATGTCTATGTAATAATACCTCATTTACCTTGATTATACAGCCCAACAGCATATACCATACTGTAGGTATTTATAACCTGGTACTGTAAAAAAAACTGACACTCTGCACATATTTCAGAATACACGCTTAAGCTCGGTTTTCCTGAACAAATACTCACACCAGGAACAACCAAATTCCTGAATACAGATCTAGTTTGTGAGTCCTACATGAGTATGGGATACTTTCTTTCACTCTACTTAGTGGTAAAAAGATAAGCGACAGGCATGTGTTTATCTGTGCTGCATGAAATAGCAGCTTAAAGCTCACCTGTGTTTTATCTCACCTTAATGAGCACTGTGTTTCAACACACATTATTCAACACATATTATGCTTGTATTTCACATATTTGTTCATTCAAATGAAAATACATTTACATAAGTTATCAATAATTAATACAATTACACTTTGATGACCTGATATGAATCAGAACTTCCAGATAAGACATATAAGTAATTTCAACTGTTTAGAAAAAAACACTGCACTTCTTGATGATTTATTACAGTAAGAATTTACCTATTAAATTGCCAATATTTTGGTGGAAGTTAGATTGTGATGCTGATTCCAAGCTTGATGACATATCAGTCAAGTACTTACCAGAATAAACATTGCAGAATACATATCTGAGGCTATCGCAACATTTTATACCAGGATAATCTTTATCCAGCTGCTCAATACCACTAAAACAGTACTTCAGGTATTTTTACAAGAACATATACTTTCAGCAAATTCTCTTTGGATCATCCTTCAGTATAATTATGCAATCAATCAACATCTATGTTAACACTTAGTGCAGTCTACACGGGCATTAATATTCTATTTATTTGAAGTGCCCACAGGATCTAGGAAAGATTTTCCAGTATTTCTATGATCCAGACAGATCCTTGCAGAGATTTTTCACTCTCAATTTAAGTCTTATCTGCAGGACAAGTGTTAAATTGTTCTGCATTACTACCTGTACCATTCTAGTTCTACTGCAGTTGTGCATGTATTACAATTCAAATTTTTTTAATTCAATAGGAATTTGTCAGTAACTCGAGCACTGCAAGCCTTAGCTCTGTCCACCTAACTGTGACACATAGGAATTTCTAAACTCTGTATGTGTCCACAGAAAATGCACTTACCTGCTGTGTGAATCCTGTCACCAGATCCTTGGCAGCCATCCTCATCATCACAGTCCCCACTTGTCTCCAACTCTTCACTTCTTCCTCCCCCACTGCCAGGATCTCGGGAAGACCATCTTTCCAGTTTTAATTTTGCTTTCTCAGCATCCAGCTAAAATGAAAGAGCAAAGAATCAAAAGCTCCTGCTTCTAGTGACCAAGCTGGATTGCTGGGTTTACAAAGCAACAAGCATGTTCACATTCTCTCCAGAACTGCTACTCACATTATAGATTGATTCTAGCAGTACTGTATTTTTGCATTTTTGGAATAAAAGACTACTCCATCAAAATATATCCACCACAGAGGACCCCCAACACTTACCGTCCAACTTTTGATTGTAAACACCACATCAGCTTTGTGTTAGCTCTGCCCCATGGCATGACAAGGTACGGTTAAAACCTGTTACTCCTGTTACACCAGTATATCTTAACCAAACTGAAAGACTTTGTAGCACTGTTTGAAGCTGGTCAGAGCTGCCCAATATCCTCTATCACACACTTTTCTCGAAAAAGAGAAAAGTGCTGTTGATACATTTGAGACTTTGTGATCCGTTTTAGCCCAGAGAAATGTGATTATCTCTGGTGCTGAGGGAAACATATTTTAAAATGTATTTCCTTTGAAGGTTCAAGCAGATTTCACACTAAAAAGGAGATGGGCTGTGAGCTGCAGGAACTGGAGCATAGACTAACACAATTGGGCTGGATGGATGGCAGCGAATGCAGCCATTTCTCTGCAAAGGGAAGCTCTTTGGGGTATTCTTGTTGTTCTTCAGATGCCTTGAGCTGCCATCCTCCACTCCGGGGATGATAAGTGCTTGGAGAACTTGTAGAGCATGGCAGAGACCCTGATTTACAGACACCAACTTCTTTATGGCAGAACTGAGGATTTTTTTCACCCTTTCACTGAAAAGATCTGTTTGCTCACTCTGAAGATGCAAATCACTTTGCACTGCAGTGGGAAGATCAGTAAGTGAGAGGATAGGGTATGGATTTCAGTGGGAAAGAGCATCAGAGACTGTTTAATTGTTACTGCATGCCTGTTTTTTAAAAAAACAAGTTGACTAATGCTGAGCCTTGCTATTCATTGGTATCTTGACTGATGTCATGACTACACAAAACAATATTTTGTTAAACGATGAGAAAAATTTGCCTACGAGGGAGAAAGATAACTCAGTTCTTTCACAGATTTCTCATGTCCTCACTGTATTAGAGAACAGTCATTCATTCTTAGTTATAATCTTTCAGAATGAAAAGAAATGGCTAAGTGGTGAATGGAACAGATGTAATATTTAATGAAGGTTTTTAATGATTGTTTGCCAGTAGAGCAGAAATGTTTATTGCCTGTTAAGGCAATCTTCTTCTCAAAAATTTTACTTCACTCAGTGTTCATGGCTCAATCTGATCCCTGACCAAAACAAGTAAATACTTGAACCAAGTGTGTACCACTTCTGCAAAAAGACCAAGAAAAGCTCAGCTTTCCGACACGGCGCACCTGCAGCACTTCACGTACTTCCGTGTTCTTAAGGCCTGCACAACAAAAAGAGATTAAACACAGTTGAGACCTGCATCTCCCCTTTGCTATTCAAAGTTGACCCAGATCTTCCTTGGCTTGCCACTATGGAGGCAGGCCAAATTAGACAGAACTCTGGTGCAGAAGCACAATATCACAGCTCAAAACCAGCTCCAGTGCAACCTACTTACCTTTCCCCCTCTTACAGCACTTCCCAAATCTTTTCAATGATTTTTCCATCAACAACTTTTGGATCTATGATTACCATTAACCAAGAACAACGAACCAGAGCCCAACTTTGTGCACACATACTGGCTTATACATAAATAAACACATTCCAGGAGATGAAGCAGTGTGAGTTAGGAACATTTGTCCCTTGACAACTGCCCCATGATGTTAGTGAGAGCACTGATTCAGTGTGACAGCTACGTGTATACTAGCCTTTCTCCTTTTCTTCATAGAATCAGAGACACCCTTCTCAAAGCCCTGAGACTGCACTGAGACAGCACAGGCTGTGTCAGGATCAAATAGGGTGCTGGTGCTAAGAAAAATCATAATAGAAAGATGTCCTTTACATTTTTTTCAGCTCTACAAGGTCTGGAAGATGACTGTGGACAGGGAATGTCCTTAATACACACTCTAACACTGCTATCCATGTTCAAGGCCTCTTCAGAGACAGCCACGACCTGCTGAAACATGCAAACAACTCTCCTAGGGGAAGAGAGAACCCCCAGAGCTTCCAGCCTGCCCCAGAGAGCCACAGAGCACACAGCAATCCCTTCCCCAGATTGGAAGGCAGACAGCAGTGACTGGAATCAATGATGGCACTTACATTTTTAAGAGCTATTCTTAAGCTATATTTTGCTGACTTACACTCTGCCTGCTGATGCGTAATGCAATCCAACCATCTCTGGCAACTCTGCTCAGTAGTTCCAGCCTGGGAGCGACCTACCTTGGGGCTGAGAATTGATGCTTCGATTGAACAACTGCAATGGATTTCAGGCTGAGCACTGCAGCTTGTGTCTTCACCTTCACAATGCAGAAGGTATTTGCTGCTCAAGATTCCAGAAGATACTGCAGTCCTAACAGCTTAAAATCTAAATCTTCAAGTTTTTGGCATATTTGAAAGGCAGTCCTGCTTACCCATGAAAAGCTTGTGTAAATAGCTTGGCAAAATTTCCACAGCCCAACTGAAAACTAGTTTGAATCAGAATTTTTCCGAACTGTAAGCTTTTGGATCAGGTTCATAAGACTCTAAAGAGTTTCTGAGAAACTTTACAGTCTTTCTGTGGAAAAGATTTAGTATCTGTTTCAGTTCTGAGTCAGACAGAGATTATACATATGCATTTTATTCACCCCAGCAAAGGCCGCTAGCTTAAGTAAAAAAAGAACACAACTTTTTACTGACATGGTATCATGGAGAAGAAAGAAGTCCTATGAGAGTGGTCCCCTATTAATACCTAATGATGTAGCACAGGTATTCCTGATCATCTAAAGAGACTTCACATCCTCAGAGAGGTGCTCAGAGCCTTATCCTGTCTGACTTTGATTACCTCCAGGGATGGGACACCCACCATACCTCTGGGCAGCCTGTGCCAGTGCCGCACGGCCCTTATTATAAAAATCTTCCTTCAAAAATCCAATCTAAATCTGCTCTCTTTTAAAAGTCTGACCATTTAACCTTTTCCCTTTCCACAACAGACTCTGCTAAAGAGTCTGTCCCCTTCTTTCCTGTCGCTCCCCTTTAGATGCTGACAGGCTGCCCTCAGCTCTCCCCCTGCCTTCTCTTCTCCATCTGCTCAGCCCCAGCTCTCCCAGCCTGTCCTGTAGGAGAGCTGTTCCATCCCTGGCATCATTTCTGTGGCCCTCCTCTGGCTGTGCTCCAACAGCTCCATGTCTCTCCTGTGCTGAGGACTCCACATCTGGATGCAGTGCTCCAGGTGAGGCCCCACAGCACAGAGCAGAGGGGCAGGACCACCTCCCTGACCTGCTGGTTGCTCTTCTTTTGGTGCAGCCCAGAATACAATTGGTTTTGTGATCTGCAAGGGCACATTGCTGGCTCTTGTCCAGCTGCCATCCACAAGTACAACCCAGGTCCTTCTCAGCAGGGCTGTGCTCTACTGTTGAACCTCATGAGGTTCACTTGGGCACACTGCTCAGCCTGCTTAGGTTCCTTTGGATGGCATCCCGTCCCTCAGGCATCACTGCACCACTCAGCTAGCTGTCATCAGCAAAACTGCTGAGGCTGCACTCAATCCCACTGTCAATATAATTGATGAAGATATTAAAGAACATCAGTCCCAGTACTGCTGTAAACTGTAGAGTAATATTAATTTTGTCAGAAGATAGATTTTAAAACTGTATTTTGCATCACAGTTTTAGGATTTTCAGGTCAGTGAATACGGCAGTGAAAATATAAGAGAACACACTTTTTGAATAAAATCACTTAAAAGCTGTGTGTTTGGAATATTCAGAGACAAATCCCATATAATAATAGTTTAATGAGGAACTTGTTGATTAGTTTTCTGCAGACATTTCAGTGGGAATCTTCTTCTCTGAAAAGAGAGTTTTGAGTTAAAACCTAGCTTCCTTCCAGTTTTCATGTCAACACATATATCTGACAGAAAGTGCTTATTATAAACTGAAGTTAGAAATTGCAAGCTAAGAAGCAGTCTTCTAAAATGTACTTCAATTACATAAACATGATTTGCAGAAACAAAGCACTTTGCTTGCTTCCACCCAAATAATGCACAAAGCCTAATCTTGAAAAGAGTCGTAAATGACGCAGTCCTGTCATTCATTTCTTTATTCAAAAATAAAACTAAAAGTCCTTTCAAAAGCATTATTAGGTCATAAACGACTACAACTGAAATAGACAATGCTCCTTTGTTTTTCTCTTTCTATATACATCTTTTCTGAGGGACTGACACACTGCTTTAGGCATAAAGCTGCATTTTACTGGGGCCTTGTGACTGAGCAGATGTTCTGTCATTTCGCAAAACAAATACAACAGATTTGAGACATAATTGCCATATATGTGCTTTTTCCAAGAGGTCCTTTTTTTGAGATAGCATTTATGGTTAATTTTCCTCCACATATGCTCTTTGCTTCCTTCTGAATGAATCTGGCAGTTGCTATTCTTCCTTCTTTACACGTTATCTAGCGTTCATATATTACAGCATAAATAAGCCAAATGAACTTATTTGTCTTAATCTTCTCTGACAGTTTCTTTGGTTTGTTTTTCCCCTGTTTTCATTTCAGAGAAATCCAGAAGCTCCAGTGCATTATTGCTTTCTAACTTCTTCTGACAGCAGTATAACTCAATGAGGTAGCTTCATGCAACTCCTGGATCCTTTTTTTAGATGAAGATGGACAGTTAACCTTCTGGAAGAAATGACACCACCAAGGTTTCCTTCTGCTTGATTTATTCAGGTTCATATAATAACCTTTACTTTAAAAAATCTTGCTTTACAAGTCACTTGTATGATATTAGAACAATTTAATTCAGCAGCTATGCATAATTCATGCAGCATGGTCAAGGATTTACCATGGTTTTGAATTGTATTCCCATCTCTCCTGACCAGACCTTTTCCACTTTGGGAA